CAGTTAATTACTGTAGTTTTGTAGTTGTAGTTGTAAATGTCTGAGTGGTTATGCGTCAACTCTGACAATAATGTTTAACTTACAGGACAAAATACATATAGAAGGTGCAAGACTTACAGTATTTTGAAAAAGGAAAATACTATAACATTTAACACTTCTTCAAATATAATAACAAAAACGGTGTCGCACATTTTTAAAGTTGTGGTACCTTTAATAATATTTTTATTATTATTTATTTTTAACTTGTGGTGAAATGGGAATTCAAAATGCCACTAATCTAATTTGCAAACTTTGCAAGTCTATGCTTTTTTTTTTATAAAAGGCTCTGCAGAAAATGTAAAAAAGGCATTCTGTGACGCTAAACTGCGCACTTTCAGGTCACCATCCATCTATTACTGTAAGGAAGAAGGAAGCAGAATTATAATAAATACTAATAGAGTAATAATTAGAAAAACACAATCTGATTAGCAGGACACCCCAGGGTTCACCTCCTGGGCAAGTTCGAATCCCGGTTGGGGCGGTTGGTCCCTTCCAGTGGACTCCCCACCCACAGGAAGGTTTGGTACGGTGCAATGTGATTTGGGTGGCGACTGCTGCCCCCGCGACCCGGTAACGGATAAGCGGATGAAAATGGATGGATGGATGGATGGACAATCTGATTAAGCAAAGAAGGAGAGAACGGTCTGATTCCCATCTTGTTTCTTTCCTTTTCTTTTAACATAAGGAGATCTGACCAAACACTACAACCACAATTTCCCATCAAGATTTAAGCAGCGTGACTAAATACTCTTAAAGAGCTAAACAGAAGGTGAAGTGCTGCCCCAGTTTGTGTCCATCAGGTTATAAAAAACTTGTATCTCCAACAAATTAATTATTCAGGCGCTAAAGGATCGATGCTATCGACTGAGTTTCACACTTGAGACTCACACCTCTGCGGGGAAAAAAAATATTCGTAAATAATTCACAAGGAGAGGCTTTATCCTCTCAGGGTCTGTCTGAACTTCTGTAGAAATACATAAAACATTGTTAAAATAATAGTCTCTTACCTTCTCTTCCAGATGCTATAAAACCTCCCAGAGAAACTGTTAATAATTAATTTTAGTTTAAATTATGTAGGACATCCATATCTATTATCGACTGGTAATCCTATAGCTCTGCAGTGCAAAGACCCACGAAAACATGATCACTTTCTGAAGAGTAAAACTCAATACGTCAAGTATGACAATGTGCTGAAATAATATGAAGTAGTACTACAGATACACATACTGCCTTTGCTGCCATTGATGTCCGTGATTTACACATAAAAATGATGAATGTTTAGTTTAACATTTTGGTGGATGTGACTCTGTCCCTATAAAATAAATGTCCCTGTCAGGACCTTCCTGCGAGGAGTTTGACATTTAGTCCTTGAGTAAAAATCCTCGGTGTGACTTCTATTAGGGAGAAGTGTTAAAGTTAATGTCCACCAAAGGAGTAATAAATCCCTTCAAAATAAAAGTGAATGCGAAGATGACACATCAGGGAGACTGTTAACTCTGTGTGTTACAGTAACCATTTAGACCTGGGGTCACCAACCTTTTTGAAACTGAGAGGTACTTCAAGGGTACTTCAAAGCTATTTGGTCGATACAGACTTCCAAAACAATGATACGTAAAGATAATTAAAAAGCAACTTGTTACATAAAATGACAGAGGATAACACTTTTGTCTGGATCTGTGAGTTGAGACTTGGAAAGTACCATCACCTATTAAAAAAGAAAGGAAAAAGTTGCTAGAAAAGTTAACAGTCACTTAAGGCTAGCTAAACATTTCACACTCACGAGAGCTCAATCTTAATTCCCCTCATTTGTCTTGTTTTAGCGTTAATAAGTGCAGAGATACTAATTATTGCTACCCCCTGATCTGGATCTGATGAATTAATTAGTATTTGTGTGAACAGGCTGATTCATCTCCACCAGGATCAGCCAGATGTTCAGAGAACCTCCAGTCCGCTCTGTGTGTTTGTTAGATTTTAGGGTTATTCCTGCAGCAGAGCCGGAGAATTACAGCAGCACTGTTGTCAGCGTGAGTGAATCTGGCCTCACCCTGATCCCTACAGCCCTTCTCTCACCCACTAAACATCACTCATTCATGTTTACTACTACCGATTTCCAGCAGCTCCTCTGGGCTTTTCATGCTGACACCTATGGCAGCAGAAACTGAGGTAAGAGCTGTCTCTCCTTTCTCCTGTCACCTTCCCCAGTGTTATTACCCATTCATCCTGCTGTGTTATATAAATAAAAAATGAAAATAGTGAAATCAATAACCCTTGCACTAAATTTATAATGATACATTGTGAATGTTCCCTGAAATAAAGAATGTACTGCGTTAATGTGTTGACGTGTGAAAAGTGTTTACATTAAGGTTTGTGCAGAACAGCTGAGGTAAAAAAATAAAAATAAAACAATTATTTTTGTAAACTGACATGGTGTTTATGACTAACTTTTTAACTCACGGACATCTCTTATTATAATTAATTAAACCATTAATTAATTAGCCAAAGGCTTTAGCTCTGGCCTGTCATTACTGCCTTTTTATATTTGATTTTGTTTTTGTATGTGCTTTTTTAAGCGTACATCTTGTAAAGTAAAAAGAAAAATGTGAGTAAAAAGAAAAATACACAGTGAAACAAAACACATTTTAAACCTTATCACGGCCACCTGAAAAATAATTTGAATTTTTTTTTAATTGGAAAAACAAAAAGTAAAATGTATTGTAAAAAATAAAAATAAAAAGTTGCAGCGATAATACCAAGGACAAATAAGCATTCATGCTCACCTTCATACTTAATTTAAAGTGTTGCATTAACATAACTAAGACCAGTCACCACTGTGGCTGGAACCAGTTTGGCTGCAGGGCTTGTAAACAAATCACATTGCTAGTTGTAGCCCTTGTTAAAAATTAATAGTAGCAACTTCAATTTTGCATTAAATTAAAGTGTTAAAATGTGTTGCTTTATCATGCCCCAATGCCCATTCTCTTCTAAAGTCTGGGGTTTCTAACAACTCACACGTAGATAATAGCTTAAAATAAGTAGGAGGTCCACAATTGGCCACGTTAAAAAGCCCTTCATTCTGGCATGATGGGGGCTTACGAATAAGGACAACAGCCTGTCCAGTCATAGCCAACAGACAACTGTCCAGACGTCAGACTACCGTCAACAGCAGTGTGTTGAAAAGCTACAGAACCCAGTCCATGTTCACGGAAGACACGGAACATGTATGTACGACCCAGGGCCTTGCCTCCTTTGACCACCCCCCACCCCTCTGACACATCCCCCCACCTCCCGCTGCCTTACTAAATCTGCTTTTGAAAATACTAGAGAGATAACTAACCCCCGCCCCTCCTCTCTGTATGACTTCTAGCTGTTTTAGTGGCCATAAAGAGCGGTCTGGACAGCGACCCTGGCCACTCATCCCTCTCCTCAGTGTAATTGCTTCATTAGAGCTCGAGCAGCATCTCGGCCTGGTAGCTGGGGAGATTTAATAAGAGCTCAGAGGATGCTCTCAGACTCCTGCGTCTGGACTGCTAGGATACTGCTGTGGAATGTCTAATATCTGGGCTTCATTCCAATGAGGACTGAAAGTCAAAGAACGTCAAACTAAAAACGTCCAGCGTGCTTCTCTTCACTTGATGAAAATGTCCTTCTGAGTCCTTTGTGCTGTGACTACACCCCTGGTGGCTAAAATGTCTGTTTTACTGGGGCTAAATAGAAAGTCTTTTTTTTGTAGTTGCTTTCTGGTCTTTCTTTCTGAAAATATTGACATTTTATATGTAATTATTATTAGTATTATTAATACTGCTTACTACTATTTAGTGCTATCTTTTAACTGTTTGTTGTCTAATTAGAGCTGTCTACCCTAAAGATCAGGAGTTTATAGTTGGAATCGTTGAATATTATATACTTTTATCTTTTGGCAAATTATTATAAATCATATTATACAATCAGTATAATCAATTTTAGCATTTCTGAGCTAACTACTAGGCAACTTTAAGCAAATTAACTTATCTTTACTTTTTAATCCTACTATTAATTTTGTTGCTTATCTTGGTCACAACATGGCAACAATTACACAACCAAACCTAGTGGTTTGTGGTGTACGTGCTCATCACAGAAACTACTGCTATGTACTTAGAACAACACAGCAATGCACTAAAAAATACATAGATTGCAACAGCAACAGGTTCTTATTGCTATAAGAACCTGAGGCCAAATGTTGCGATGTTTCCCACCGGATCCACCCTGCAGCTAAATGTTCATGTGTGCATTTAAAATACAACAATGGGAGTGGGAGAAGTAGCGGAATGAACCCTGAAGGCTGCAGTGGTGGGTAAAAATTGTAAAGATAAGAAGAAGAATAAAGAGAGAAGAAAGTGTAAAGTGTATCTAGCACTGGGTTGAACTTTCTAGAGAAAATACCCAGCTAACTTAAGAATATATGCGGGTTACATCTAATGGTAATTCGTCACAGTTGAGTGCAGTGCGTCAGAATGGGTACACATAGAGTACTATGTACATGGAGAACAGATACTAGGATGATCCTCAAAAGGCTTATAATATTTGAATGTGCTATTAAAGTTTGCTGTAGAAAAGCCCAATGTCTGATAAATCCGACAGTAAACACAACTTTAATACAATTTCCTGTAAATAACGCTGCCCTGTAGATGCTGCCTCACAGTATCTCCAGCAGATCTTAGCTATAAATAGCAAACAGCAGGAGGGGAGTCGGGGGGGGGGGCGGCAGGCTGATGAGTGTGAAAAGGACACACACGATGACAACAGTTTGTGTGCATGTGTTGAGTAATGTGTCTCTGCCAGCAATTATGTGTGGGTTTTTGCATCAACGGCATGCAATTGTGCACACACTCTTTGCTGTACAGTACACACCACGCCATGACTGCATGCAAACTCATTTCTGCTCCTCTTCCCTAATGAGTGCTTGTGCGCTGTGTCGGACTCACGTGATGATCAGGGATGTGGAGAAGAGCAGCGTTCCCAGCAGGCCACGTCGACAATCTGCATTCTTCCTCTGGCGCTGGTGCATTTCTCCACCACAGTTGTCGCAGCAGCGGCACATGCAGAAGAAGAGGCCGACGACTGGCATCAGTACGGTGAAGAGGAGGCCAACCGCTGCACACACGAGGAAGCCTATCTCGTAGTAGATGGCCTGCAGGGTCGCCGGGTGGAGACATGGGGGAGGAAGATGATGGAAAAAAAACAAAAACAAATGGAGGATTAGGGGTTAGAAAGAGTGATGAAGAAAGAAAAGAAGTGATAAAAACAAGGGTTGATTTTTGGGTTAGAAGAAAATTAGAAAAGAAACTACAGGAGTTCACAGTTCAGTTAGTTAATCAACAAACTAGCATTAATCTTTTATCGCTAGGTTAACTTTGCATGGAACAATGGAAGTGAGAGATATCTAAAAACTTACACAAAGATCAGAAATATTTGATGAGAAAGGTTTAGGAAGTTAGGAAAAAGACATATAATTACTTATCATTAATGAGGCTCACATTTCACCCCATTATTTAAAATGGATGATTTCCTGTGATAATTCTTTTTCTTTCTTTTTTTTTTTTTTTTTTTGCTTATATTGACCTCATACACACACTGCTTAATTCAGATGAACCAGGAGCAATTTTACAAGGCAGAGAATTTTAAAATATGCAAAAAAGAGGAACATCTCAAAATAGGTCTTTATTTATCCAGCAGTGGGAAATTAGTATTTTCTGCTGCTAAAAGGTTAAGCAAATCAAGTTATTTTAACAACTCTACAATGAATGAATTCCTCTTTGCAGAATTATAGGGAAATGTTTTCGCAGTGTTTGTACAAGATGAGATCATAAAAATATACGTTTTGGAAGGTAAAGAATAGAGGAAGAGATATCTGGATTTAACTGCTGACAAATCTCACAGTTCTCTTAAAACAAAAGCAATCAACATCCAAATAATATACAAAATAAATCTACTGCAGGTTCAGGAATGGACTATTTACCAGCAATAAAATGGCAAAATGATGCAATATAATGGCCTAAAACCTTTTTCTTTTAAAACTGTTTGCAGCGGAGGAGCAATATTCACAGACTGAAAAACAACATATGGACGAATATTTATGAGGAGTCAGAGTCGTCCGTGCAGCCCCGTGGTGCTGTTTTTTTCCCTCTCACTAATGATGGGGAAAGATGGAAAACCTTCTTTAGTGGGAATGGCCTACAAGGCAGTCGGTGTGCTGCAGCTCTTTAAGCCTGTAATGAGTCAGAAAGTCCTGCGATTCTTGGAAACAAAAGAGACAAATGAGCCCCAGGGGAGCAGTGATTACATCAAGTTGTTTTTCTTTTTTTCTTGCTTTAATTATTATTTTAATAAATTTAATTAGGCAGTCACTGTCAGCCTCTCACACATCAGGTAATTACTTAGCTTATAATGAAGGAACTTAAAAAAATTATCAAGAGATATTGGTACATTATTTTTACAACTCATTTTAGTAGCAAAGTTTTTTGGTTTTCTGTTTCTATCTATCTATCTATCTATCTATCCATCTATCCATCTATCTATCTATCCTCAGCTTTTGATATAAAAATCAATCTGCAGTACAATGGTACCACATTCAGGGACTAAATATGTGACCAATTAGATGCAAACAACATTACGCAAACAACAAATTCCATGGTGGAACCCTTTGTGTTCAAATTAGTTTGCACTTATATATATTTTAAAAAAGATTTTCCACTAAATCAGAGAGAATTGTATTTCTTTCTATGGCCACGTTTTCTTCACCCTCCTTTAAAAACCAAGGCCATGTTTTCTTCACCCTCCTTTAAAAACCAAAAAGCCTTAGGACTCCAGAGAAAACAGGAACATTGAGCACGAGGAATATTAATCTTACAGTGAATCAGCTGAGAGGAGAGTGTATCCATTCAGGACTATGGATAGCTGCACTGCTTTGATCCTTTTATAATGAGCAACTATTGAACCGGGTACATACAGCTTGGGATTTATCCAGTCTCTTTTCAATTTGCCAACTTCTAAAGCCTGTTCCTAGTCTGAATTAGACAGAGGGGCAAATAAAGTAGAGGCAGAAATGTGGTGAACAACAAACCAAAAACCTGTCCATCCAAAAGTAACAGTTTAAACTAGGGATGTCCGATAATATCGGCCGACCAAAAATAGGTGCTTGAATTTGACCTTGAAAACTTTTGCTGTTTATAAAATGTTTTGGCATTTCTACACCTCATGTGTCCTGAAGGGGAACTAATCACTCACCTGCACCTGTTTTTTATTTTTTTAAAGCATCAGTAGTTCCTGAAGCTTTGCTCCTGGGTTTTTCTGGTTAGGGAGTGAATCTTGTCAAAACAAGGTCAGAGGGGCTTTTATTTTATTCAACACTCTTCAAGAGCCTGCGGCTGTAACTATTTTTGGACTGTAGATTTGTCTTAGAGAGTGCCTAAAAGAAAACAATGACCTTGTGCTAAGGACACACAGGGTGATGTGTTGAAAGCATGTCTCTCAGTGAAGAACCAGGCTTTTATGAACCTTAAAAATAATAATGTTTCATCCGAAAAGTGGCCACAGGAGATTCTGAGAAGATTCGGTGTGTCTGAACCTCTGACTGACTGCAGGCTTAAAATCCCTGAGATTAAAAACAGCTTTTGAATAAATGATGTGCTGAATTAATGAGATTCTCAGTGTTTTTGTTTGCGTTGCTTGTTTTGACTCCAACTGGATTGGGAGTGGCTGTGATTTACCCTGGAGCTGTACCACTTTCCTTCAGGTCAGTGCTACTGTATTTCATTCAACAACAAAAGAAAACACTAGGCACCTCTGACATAATGATACCGGATAAAGTTTCTCTCCTGCTATAAAGTGAAACGTGATGGAAGTACAGGGTCATTTCTTTATTTTCCTTTTATTCCCTAAGGGAATGCTCTGTGTTACTTCTAGAATTTGATAAAAACTTCCACAGTTGAAGTTCCCTGAATCCACTTTTATACCAAATTCCACTGCAGCTTCACGGTCTCTGACCTGGTTCTGTTTTCTTGTCAGACTTGTCCTGAGGGCAGAGATCCTCAAACTTTTCAAGTTGAGTTCAAAAATAGATTTAAGACCTAACATAAGGTCCAATATCTTACCTTATCCAATATGTTACATAATAAGATAATAACTTAAAAATATTAAGCTATTATTTATAATTAATAACATACTAAATAACTCACTGTTACTTTTGGAACAGAAAAAACGAAATACAAAAAAGGATAAAAATAACTAAGATACAAGACAAGAGCAGTTCCTCAGTTGAGAAACGACTGGCTACAAGTAGGAGAGCTAACGCTGCAAATCTACTAAATGTTAGTCCAGAAGTAAAGAAGGTTGTCTATTTTTATCAAGCAAAAATGGAACAAAACTACACTAAACGTAAGAAGTCAGTAACAATTTAGCTTAGATAGAGGAAAATTAGCCAAATGAACCAGTAGCTTAAGAAAAACAAGGACATGTTAGCCTGGAGGTAGCTCAAATATTAGTTTAGCTTACAGGCAGACTTTTGCTTTTACAAAAGGATAGGTAAATGTTAGCTTGTTGCGTTTTTGGTGATTATGTTTCTTCAATGTAATTAGCATAACTATCACGTGCATAATGCATAATTTATAATGTCTAGGTTAAAGGTACAGTTAGAAAGTAAATGAGTCTATATTATGGATTAGAAAATAGAAATGCACTATAACTGTAACAATGTTGCATTTCTGACATTAAAAAACGGCAATGGGAGAGGGAGGAACGTGTCAAATACATAAGCATAAGAGTTCTAACCAAACTGAACACTGCATTTGATGAGGATGGATGAAGGTCATGGGGCTGCACAACTGTTCGTGTTAACTGCAGGAAATAACAAAAATAAATGATAAATAAAAAATAAATGATCTAAGACTAAGTCTGCGTGTGCACATGTAGAATACTGAATGTAGAATGTAGCTTTAGCCGTGCAGCCACACTGACTTATGATAGGATGGAGCGGCGTGACATGGGTTTGACAGTTAACGTCCCGTGTGCAGACTTTACCTGTAGGGTCAGGACTATGTTCTCTGGCTGAGAGGAGGCCAGATCAGGTGATCAGGTGATCAGAGGACATGCAGAAGACACAAGGCAACTCAGCATCAAAGACAGAGCAAGAAAGCCACAGAAACATGTGGATGAAAAATAAAGCAGAGGTGAGAGAATTAAAAATGAGCATGCAAATTCACATTGATTCTCTCCTGTAACAGTGCAAACACAGACAGACTTGATGTTGAAGTTCCCATTAGGAAAAGACTGAAAACAGAATATAATTATAAGGTGTCAGACATAAAAGAAAGAAAAGAGACCGATTTAGTTGATGTTCATAAAAATTCAAACGCCGTATCTCACCTTTATATTTCAACCTGCAAAACAACTTTTGCCTTTTTTTTCCATAAAGCCAATGAAAAGATGACCTTGCCTTGAAATTGCTTGGCAGAAAACTATTAACTCTTTCCTCCAGAGAAGTATAGAGCTCTGAAGCATCTCTGAGGTACATTTCGTACAAGTTGCTGCATTAATTTAAATAAAAAAAGGACGGAAAATAACTGGAACAAAAAAATACATGCACTTACCTTATGATATTCTCTCTGGAAGGCTTCAAACTTTCCCTTCACAAGATCAACGATAAGTTCTGAAACATAAAAAATACTTTTTATTGATAAAATATAACACGCAGCAGCTGTTAAAGGAAGTTGCCTATAGCACAACTTTAATGGTTTAGTTTACTGGATGCAACCTTTTCTAGGCCAGCGGGGGGAAAAGTTTTCCTTAAAGGTTATTTTTGCCGAGCTGAAACAGCAGGTTTGACATTTCTGACAGCTGACACTGGAGTGTCCCTTCATGCCTCATCACTTTTCCCTGACTTTAAGCCCAGACAGGTCTGACAGTCTGAGGAAATCTTCTATTATTTATGAGTGGACTGACATCAGGTCATAGAACCTGGAGGTGCTGCTACTGATACGGTGCGTTTTATTTATCTAGGAAGAAAACAACAATTCTCCAACTGGAGATATTTTATTGGGTTAAAAAAAGTCAACTAATTAGATTCAGATTTTGTAGGTCAGAGAAATGTAGAAGCGTGTGTTGGTTGAGTAAAACATTTTTACAAACATGGAAAATAAACATTCTTTCTCTTATTAAACTTGTGTCCTTTGTTATCCTTGTTATGTTGTTTTAATTACTTACAATGTGCTATTTTTGAAGTTTAAAATCCACTAAGCAATACATTTATTTTAAAAGCAAACAGAGGGCCACATATAGTGACAGATAATCATTACAGTCACATGTTTTTCAATTTAGAGTGAGCAATTAACTGAACCCTGCAACTTTTTTGGACTGAACACGTTTGGATTTTTTAACAACAATAGATTAACAACAATCAGACTGCATGGTAAGCCCCCCTCCCCCCCTCAACAAAACTCTTTTTAAATTTTTGAACACCAAGTAATGTCATATTTTATAATGAATCAAAATCAAAAAATCAAACAACACAAAGTTCATAAAGAGAAGCCATCATCACTGTGCCGTTCCCCACCAATGTGGCTGCCCCACACTTTGAGAAGCACTGGCAGGAGGCAGGAGTATTGACCACAGTTTTATAACAAATAAAATGGATTTTATATGGATATAATGGGCTGTGACACTAAATCCTACTTCAATCTTCTTCACTAAAAATATAAAATCCCAGGATTAGATTAACAACAATCAGACTGCATGGTCAGACTTGTGTTTCTCTAGGAAGCTAGGCAACAGTTTCTCAAATTTATAATAAACTGTGTATAAAAAAATACTTCACATGTGAACACCTGTCATTTTCAGTGAATCGTTTATGAAATTTCAGGCATCATTAGAATGGAATCAACCCTAAAAAAATCTCCCTCAAATATATTCCACAGCTGCTGCTCTTCATCCACACCTGGAGTGTTGCTGCTTGTGACTCATCACATTATAATGACAGCAGCACCGGCAACTTTTTCTCAGTGGTAAGAGATTTCCAAAAATAAGATGCAAAACACACGGGGGCTTTTCTCGCTCCTGCAGTAGAGTGTTGCTCTGCTTGAGGAGGTAAAAAAAAAATCCCACAGAAGAATTGATTTATTACAAAGCAGATTAATGATTCCTGGCTGTTCTCCAAAATCAAGAGATTGGTAATAATTGTCAGGTCGCTCCGGGCTTCAGGCTGCGTGTCAGGTAATTACAGCGTCTGTTTGGGAAGAGACGTGATCCCTGTTCTGACTGATCCTGTTTAATTAAATAATCACTTTTAGAATGGATGAACCAGCACCTGGGAAATGACACTAGGTTTTATATGACATGACGTGGCCATGGTAGCCCTTTCCATGTATATATATGTATATATGTACATATATATACGATATATAATGACATAGTTGTTAATTTTTATATTTATCATATTTATTTTCGGATGGCAAAACCAGAGATTTTCTACTGAAAACTGCACACCAGTGAGGAGAACCACTGTCAGGCACAGTGCTGCATATATTTAATAAAACCTCCAGCATTAGCTGGTTTTCCAACACCACGTTTCCAGAGCAGGTTTAAGGTTTGAGAGAGTTGATTCAGAGGTGTGCTCCAGTGCCACATTTACACATACACTGCCACTTTTAGCAGGTTTGGCTGGCATTTGAAACACATTTAATGAGCATCGGTGAGCATCAACCCACTGGGACTGAAAGGTGGCCAAAAATAACATAACCACCAAGACCACGTTCAAAATACTGGCTACTTTATTCAATTAGATACGCAGAGAGATGGATGGATGGACAGATAGATACATCTTTATCTAATATTGTTTACTTAGAGCAGTGGTGCTCAATCACGATCTACCAGTAGAAATTCAAATGTTATATACATAAATAAATTCCTTTTCTTTTCTAGATATTTTACTGCCCCGTAGAACACAGTGGGAAACCAACAACTTAGCCATTGCAGCAAGTTTAGCTCCAGTCTGTTGCTAATCCACTGTCTGCCAGTATTTTCTCACCAAGTTCAGGTGCAACACGTCTCTTTTATAGGTCAGCTTCAAGAACGTATACGTTTTCCAGAACTGGAATAATACCTACAGTAACTCCCTGGATCACTGACGGCAGTCGCTATTGTGCCTTTGGGGTCAAGGTGTAAAATGATCTGTTGATATCATCTTTTCTTCCTCTTTTTCTGCCTTGATGCTTTGTGTGTGTTTCAAAGCTTTCATGACGTGCTGGAAAAGGTGTGTGTAAATTCCTATTGAAAAACTGTATCTAAAGTAAATAGGATGTAAATGAGTTCAGAACACAGCCTAAAGCTGTGTAAGAGAATATAGAGTTGACCTTAATGATGGGTTGTTGTTTGAGTTGATGAGAAATGAGAGCAGGAGTTAGAAGGAGGATGAAATAGTAACTGTTTCCTCATCGCTAAAGCCAAACATTTACAGTATATGTAGCTGGATTTCTGTTTTACAGAGGAAATCGAACGGTAGAAGGAACAGCTGTTTATTTGAACTGAAAATACCTTAGCTTGTTTGCTAACAGCAAAAGAACATTATAATTTCACTGAGAAATTTTATGTTAAAGTCTTTAAATTAATACCAGAGCAGAAAATCCCGATGGATATACAGATCCTGGTACACAGTATTGTAACTATAGACTACTACAATTTTTTGATTAGCTTGCAGGCTAGTGGAGTAGTGAAAGAAGTGAGACTACAAACAGAGTATGGCTGTTTTGAATCCCGGCCGTGGATGGACTGTGGTTTGTTGAACAAATGTCTCATAACTACAGTTATAAAACTTAAAGTATTTTTAAAGTAGTTCTCCTGAGAGAATTCAGTGTTAAAATGTTTTCATAAAACTAAAATTGTTTTAAAAGATCATGTACCATTTACATCACTTAATAAATCCCAAACACCTAAATCTTCCATAGACCAAAAAAAAGAATCATGTCTATGAAAAAACTTCATTCAACCTAACCTTGAGTTTCTGAAAATGTTTGATTTGTAAAAGAAATTAGGTGATTTCTGGGATGTCGGCCAAAAATGTTGAGCATCAGGTATAAAGGGAGACAGAAAGAGGATGTGGGAGTCGTAGAGAGAGGAAGGATGAAGAAAGGACAAACAAAGGACGAAAGCAGGATGGAAGGGAGAGGTGAATGAGTGAAGAGCTCTGAGTGAAGAAGTGTTGGAGTAAATCCAACCTCTGTTTGTAGTAGGAGACCGTTAATACTTCTTAATGAGTAAAACACTTACTTGAAACCTGACCAACCTTCAAAACCTTTCAATCAGAGCTGTAAGTGAAAATAGGTGGTTGCTGGGCAAGAGCCACACTGAAAAATAACTATATATATATGTATATATACATTACATAACAGCAGCTTTTCAACTTAGGTTAACCTCAAGGTTAACCTCCCATAGAAAAGACTATCAGTCAGGGGCCATGGTTTCAGAAGCTCCTAGCAATGAGGAGGAGATCAAGTAGAACCTTAACAGCAGATGTAATGAGGCTTTGCGAAGAGCTCAAGACTTAATAGAAAGCAGGAGAATGCGTTCTTTTCTTTACCTTCTCCGTCAGGGATTTACGTTCTTAGAAAAACCCAGCAGCAGCACAAATGTCTTAGCTCAGCTGATCAGAATAGGACAAGGAAGAATCCAGGAAGATGTTTTCACAAAGGTTTCTGCACACACAGACTGTTCTGGACCAGAACTTCATTCTCACCAGGGTAGAACAATTAATTACATAATTACAGGAGTAAATTTGGTTCTCCTGTGTTAGTTTTAGCTATGATTCTACTGAGAGTCTCTGCAGGACTTTTAAATAGATCATGAAACACAGCAACTGTGGAAAATAGTCATGCATTGCTGACTGTAATAATATAAAAATGTATTTAAAAAAGTACTGCAAAAACAAAAGAAGTAGGTACTGCACGACAGGAAGTCCAGAATATTTTTTAAATATTTCTTCAAATTTATTCACAGAAATTGGTTAAGGTTTTTAAAAGTATTTTTTTATTTGTAGTACCTTTTTTATATCTTTATCTGCTTTTGAAAGAGCTTTTTCTCTTTATGTTTTCTACACATTTTAAACTACTGTTTTAGATTAAACATTGTATTGATTTTACATTTAAATTGTAGAGAAAAAAGTTTAAATATTTATTAGAAATATGTCCAACTTGTTGACTTATTATTTATCACATGACCACTTTGTTGTCTACAGGCCCCTCCCTGCAGTGGTCCTGATCCTGGTACAGTGATATGTGTCTTGTCCTAATCCTCAGTCTGTTTAATTTGATTCTTCAGCACTCAGCTGTCAGGAGTGACTGCCCAGACAATAGCTGTAACAGCGTGTGATGAAAACAGCGCTCTTTTGTGTAATTATGGGATGTCCTGTGTAACACAGACTCCCTCGGTTGTTGCTGAAGCAGAGGTGCTGAGATGCATGGCTAACCTTTGTGGAAAACTGAATCTCTATTCAGGAATATCATGTAACATGTCAGTCAAGAAACAGCCAATAACACTGTCCCCTGTTGAACCATTCAGGTCTCTTTATAAATAATACAAAAGGACAAAGACGCAGCCTGGTGGGACATGAGCAGCGGTGGAGGGAAGTAGACAGAAAGCTGTTCACAGATACTTACAGTA